CAGAGCAGTGGCAGCATGATGTTTTTCTTGTGTATTCTCACGTGCGTATTTGCAGTTTGCATATATGGAGGGTACATTGTTCGGAAGCGGTTGAATTTTCTTGCAGCTGATGTGGTAAATTTGCAATGTGCTTTGAGCAATTTTGAAATGAGATTCACAGATGTGGAGCAGAGGATTGCTAATGCAGCATGCGATGATAGCCTTGTACGCTTTCATCCCAACATTTGGTGGGAGTTTGACAGACTTCAGCACCAGGCCAGGAACACTGCAGAGAAGACCGATTGGCTGGTGATGAAGGAGAAAGAACGTGAGCAGGGAGGCAATGGAGAAGCTTCCCTCGGACTCAGATTTTGACAGACTTGATGTGGAGCCGGAGGAGCTTTTCAACAAGGCCAACTCTCAAGACTGGCGTGGGACGCATATGAAGCTGGATGTAGCACAGTGCGTCAGTTCATTGACAGCATGCCAGATTCTGAGAAAACAGATTCAGATGCAGACTTGTGAGAAACGAAGCCCGGTTTACGGTGAATTGCGCCAAAGGGCATGGGTGTGAATTCGTGCAGAGATGTGACTTTCTTCGCAGAAACCTTGGAGGGCAGACGTTTTCCATTTGAGTGCAAACTCATTTGAACGGTCGCATAGGTAGCTTTTGCTTTGAGTTTTCCGAGGTAGCTTTTCTAGGTGATTGGCTTTGGAAACAGAACGTTTACCTGCAGCCAAGGCGGGGTGCTAAATAGTAAACCGCTTTTACTTGGTTGAGTTGTGTTGGAGACAAGCCTTGTAAAGCGCATGAGCAGTCATGTTGGCTTGCTTTTTGGTCATGAAAACTCGGACGTCTTTCAAGGCGCTTAGTGCTCAAGCTGTGTGATGGAAAACAGAGTGCGTCTCATTTTTGCTTTGGTCTGGAATCATTTGTAAAAACGGAGCGGTGACAAAGACCGGTGACATCGGAAAAAACGTTCAGCAGGATGGAGAATTTGGCTGTTTTGCAGGGTTTTTCGACCCCAAAACGAAAATTAGTTAGGTAGTATAGGCCGATGTTCTTTACTACTCACGCAAGCTGCTCTACAGAGTTTTGCGCGTGTGCGACGAGATCGCACGTGCGGCCACGGCAGAGCTTGCGGAGCGGCTGAGCATTCCGGACTAGGCTCTTCTTTGGGGCTCTGAACCGAGGAGCCGAAGAAGCCAAATTTTCCGTGTGTTTCCGTGTTTTTTACTGCCACTCAACGCCGAAAAAGGCTAAGAGGGGCAGCTAGCCTTTTGTTGGAGATTTTTTGAGCGCTGCCACTTGTAGCCAAAAACGACGTTGAGTGGCAGCGGGATTTTTTGAGATTTTGCTAGCTTTTTGGCGCTGCAAAAACTGGGCATTAACTGTCCTCAAAAGGGACAATAATTTTTTTGGAGCTAGTCGAGCGCCGAGACGCCCGTGCCGGAGAGCGTCGCCAGCTAGTAGGCCGCCAGGTGGATGAACAGGTGCGTCGTCGTGCCGTCCAGGCCCTTGAAGGTGAGCCGAGCAAGGTTGCCCGAGCGGGTGCTGACACCGCTGAGGGGCATCTTGGGCACGCGCTTGGTCGGGAAGCCGGCGATGAAGCTGTGGCGCAGGCAGCTCGCACGGCCGATGTCGATGTTGCGCACCGTGGCCGATCCGGTATTTGTGCAACCCATACTGCGATTTCAGACCTTGTGAATTGGACAGACCGTGCAATATGGGGGATTAACTTCACGCAGTCACTGCTCAGATGGGTAGCCGCGCTACAATGGCCGGAAGAGCCGCTGGGCCATCTCCTTTTGTCTCTTCACCGGTTGCCCAATACCGAATCAGCATTCGCTCAGGGTTTTCTTTTCCCATGTTGTGAATCTACTTCCGTGGTGGCCGTTTTGCTCCTAGCCTTCACCCAAACTTGATTTGTTTCTTTTGAAACTGAAACGCCGCCATGGACGCCCTGCTGTGTTTTGGAGTGGGCCTCGCCTTTTACACAGCCCTTGTGTCCGGCTGCACTTGCCTTGCAGTTTGGTGCTTGCTGCAGCAGCAGCGCAAAGCCCTGTTGTGGCAGTCATGCTTTCAGCCGCTGCCACGCCCTGGGCCTGTGCGCATTCTGCCCAAGCGCAAGGTGTTTCACCATCGGCAATGCCATGACCTGGCACAGCGTGACGCATCCGCCTTTGCCTTTCAGCCGTGCGACAACTGTGCCAGCCTTTGGTGATGCAAGAGCCACAGGCCAGTGCCATGCCTCGTGACAGCATTGCCTTCTTTGCCGCTTGCTAATGTAAAATAATTGTGCCTCTGCCTTTGGAACTTGAGCCCATGTGCACCTTGCATAAGTGTGTTGTGTGTGCACCAGCCGCATTTCACCCCGAGCCCTTTTTCAAGCCTATTGCATTGTGCGCCCGTGTTTGATTCTTGAGTGAATCGCATGCCTCCGGGGTTGCGGCCTTGACACCAAGTGTCTTGGCCACTTAAGGCTCCTCCGGGACCTTCAAGGCCCTGTGATTCAGGCACACCAGTCCTTGACACCGCGTCTTGGCAATTAAGGCTCCTCCGGGACCTTGACAAGCCCTGCGATCAGGCAAATCAGTCATGACCCCGGTCATGCATTCTTGAGTCGCTCTTGAGTTGCATTGCTGCCTTGGCACCGCGTGCCTTGGCAACTAAGGCTCCTCCGGGACCTTCGCAAGCCCTGCGCTCCAGGCACTTGACTGCTGTCATTCTGCCCTGCGTGCCAAATCTGGAATCCGACACACCTCAGCCTTTCACGCCCAATGTCGTACTTGCAAGCATTGGTGTGCCTCCGCTGGGCAATACAGTTGCCCTGGAGGTCGGAAGGCGGCCAGCTGGTGACCCAAGACGAGGCTACCTCGTTCACCCTTCTAAATGCTCGCTGCTCAGTGCGGCTGCGCAGCTACGCCTTCCCGAAGACAGCCGAAGACTTCAGGGTCACCATCGCCTTTCATCTGCACTGCTGTACAGCAGGGATGACACCATAGAAGCCTTGTGGGTGCAATCTGAGCTTGCCTTGGCCATCAGACGTGGCTGGAGACCCCCTCGGCCGATGGCCTGTGGGGGCCAGCACCCAACCGTGGAACCAGCCTTTCAAGTCCCACAGGCAAGCCCTCCAAGCCAACTGGAGCTCCAGAGCCTCCCGCCAAGCCTTGCCAGATTCCTGTACCACAGCAAAGTGGACAATTTGCTGTCCGCAGCCCTCAACACAGACGAAGAAGCTCTCGCAGTGGAAAGGGCCGCACTGGACTCTTCGGAAGCCGAATCCGAAGAACTGGACTCTCGCAGTCGACTCGATCGGCATTCGCCTTGTGCCCTGGGGTTCCGTACATGCCGTGCTTAGCACTCACAACAGCTCAGTGCAAACAGCGTGCGGATTGCGCTTCAAAGAGTGCTCATACCCCGTGCACCAAATTCACCCGGACATGCAGCTCTGCAAACGCAAAGCATGCGTGGCCTTGCTGTGCTAAAATGAGCGGTTGCTTGCCATGCCTCGGCACCCACGGAGCACTCAAACTCTGTGCAGCTCACACCGCAGGTATTCATCGGACGGCGCGTCAGCAACTCAGCAGTGCTCATGCGCCAATCAGGTGCCCGCCTTCGCTTTGACTTTACCTGCTCCGCAGCTGTTTTCTGTCAGTGGAGCACCACTCGCGTTCGGCGGGGTGGCTCACCCGCATCCAAACCGTCTTTCGCAACGCCCTGGCCCTGTGCCAAGCAGCGCATTTGTCGAATGCCAAGGCATTCGACAAAAAGATAGCCGACCTGTGTCTCACACAGCCAGATGCAGCCTTGGCTTTCACGCAGTGAAAACACAAGAGCTCTTGCCGGCGGATCGCAAGCTCTGGGCAGCCATATCAGACCTCCTCGGACAGCAATGGTCGCTGGATGATGCCTTGTACGAGCTAACGCATATGAGAAACGATGCTGAACTGGCAATTGTTCATGTTTTTAAAGTTTTTTTGCATTTTGCATTTTTCCACTCTTTCGCGGGCATTTGTTGCTCGATTTATGTCGCTGCCTGAAAGATCCTTTGAGTCTAAAAATAGCCTCGGATGCGATTTAGACTCCTACAAGAATTTAGAGTCAAAATGAGTCTAAATAAGGCGAGGCTAAATTTATGTTTATTTAGCCTCAAATTAGCTTCAATCTAGTCTCAATTTTATGTTAATTGTCCATAGATTTTTGCTTGGAACCAACACTGCCAACTATTCGTTACTGCAAGGGAATCCGCACAAGCGCGCGCAAAAATGGTATGAACGTGAGCCCTAGTGTTTGTCCACCAACAGCAACTCAGCACCCTACTCAAAGGACAATTGCGCCGCGGCCCAAGATGGAGCTGTGCAAAAACCACAGGCAAGGGTATATTGTGGTGCAAATTGTGTTGGCTTGGGCGGTAAGTACAAGAAGAAAGCTTCGCAAAACCCACGGGCGGCCGGAAGCACAAGCGTTGGAAATGCTGGGCATGCCCACACACACACCACATTTGCTATATGATCTGCGCGCAATGCAAGTGGGAAGCAAACAGGTGTCTCACACGTGGGCCGCCCACAGTTCAAAACTGGCACGTGATGCAACCCTATAAACGCCGGCTCCGCACAGCGCAAGCGTCCGGCGCATTTCTTTTTATATACATGAGTGGCCGGTCGTACAAGCGGCGGTGGCTGTGCCACTGCGCAACGCATACAATTCTGTGTACAGCTCCGCGCAGTACAAAAATGGAAAAGTATAGCTCACACAGTGTACATGCGGTGGGGGAGCTTATATAGCGACTCCGCAGCAGAAGTGCTGCGACGTGCACAAGCGGCAACATACAAGGCTTTCCACGGTATACAACTGTGAGTGTGGGCAGGTGCAACTGGCAGCCCAAAACTGTGAAGGCGCAGAGGACAAATGCAACACGAGCAGAAAGCCTTCAATTTTGCAGCTGCAGCAGGTTTTACAAAAAAAGGCAGACTGGCCATCCTGTACCTTTTAGCGGCCTTCAAGGCGACGCGGCCCGTCAGCAGCAGACCACATATAGTGGCAAGCCAGCCCGTACTTTTCTGCCCTTCAAGGTGGCAGATACGTCCGTCCGGCCGCTCACACAGCTGCTAATCAAGGTGGAAATGCGGCCCATGAGGTCCTCACCTCGCCAGCACCAGGCCAAATGGGGATGAAGTTTGTCCAGAGAGCACTATTTTGGCCAGAGAGCACTGACGGCGGGAACATATCCGAACCAACTCCGGGATCCGGCTAGCGTCTCCTCCGCAAACTCCGGCGTCATTTTCGACCAGAGCTTCTTCACCTCCTTGAACTGGTCCTCATCGAACTCGACGGCCTGCCCCTCAATCTGTTCGTTGCTCTGCTTAGAAATCTTTCTTTCACGCTCAATCTGAGCCGCAGCGTAGTACTCTTTGCCGCCCTCCTGAAGCTTCACCATCCTTGATCTGCCACTTGGACATGAACAAGTTCTTGCCGATGCCCTTCTCCTTCTCCGCCTTCGAGTCTGTGGTCTCCAGCCGCTTTTGCGTGCTGAAGGTCAACTTCTCCGGCCGAAGCTTCAGCGCCCCACCTTCTTTCACAAAGAGAGTGTTGATCAGCTTGGTCTTGTCATCACGGGAGCCACAGGACTGATACTCCGCCAGCACCGCAGCAGGCAAGCTCTCCTCGGCCAGCATCTTCTTGAACTTCTGCGCCTTCGACCGGTCACGGCCAGACTCCAAGCCATCCTCAGCCTCTGCGTCGCCTGCATCTTCTTCGCGAGCTCGCACCACCTGGTCGCCCAAGTCAAACAAGTCCTGGAGGAGTTCCTTCTTCCTTTTTGGCTTGGGCTTCGGCTGCGCTGGATCAGCCTTCTTTTTCTTCTCTGTGGACTTTCCCTTGGCCTTGGGCTTGGCCTTCGCCGCTGGCTTCTAGTGAGCTCCACGCTGGCATCATCTCTGGCATCAGTGCCATCAGCGGCATCCCTGCCCTGCTTGCGAGCTTTCGACTTCACTGCAGCTGCAGGTCGCTTCAACACCGGACTCTTCTTCGCGGCCGGTTGCTCTGGTGGATCAGGCTGACTCGCAGTAATCTCACCCTCAAGCATCTCTGTCAGTGTGTCGTCTTCCACAGGCGTTGCCATCCAAACGACCTATATAGTTCACTGTGCACAGGCGCTGTACCTACCGTAAATATAAGGCTCAAAAGGTGACGGGCAACATTTGCGAGAGTGCAACGTGCAACCAGGAGAAGCAAGTACAACCAGGAGAGGCTGAGCGAGCTCAGAAGCCAATGCAGAAATATTAATTTGAAACAGCTTGGGCTTGGACTTTGAGCTTGCTCGGCCAATCCACCACTTGTGTCCCACGCGGTCATGTATACTCCAAGCATGGCCAGGCAAGTACAACACAAGTCATGCGCTCCAAGCGTGGCCAGGCAAGTGCAACACAAGTCATGTACTCCAAGCGTGGCCAGGCAAGTGCAATACAAGTTTGCACTGGGTAGGGGCATGTACACTTGCGACCACCAAGAGTTGTTGCCACCAAGAGTTGTTTGCAGCGGCTGTTCCAAAGTACACCTTCGGCATTGCTCAAACCTTGAAATCTTTAGATGTTTCTTCAAGAAATTGAGCAGTTCTGGTCACACAACTGTGCTGTCCCTTACAAAAAAAGAGCTGTTCCTGAAAAAAAAGAGGCTCCTCCTTCAAGAAAATGGCTGCCCGCAGTGATTGGTTTCACAATTTTAGAGCCCCGAGTGCTCAAACTGCACTCAAACTGCATCCAAACTACATCCAAACTACATCCAAACTACATCCAAACTGCATTATGATGATGCACTTTTGTTTGAAACTGCATCCAAACTACATCCAAACTACATCCAAACTGCATTAAGATGATGCAGTTTTGATCCAAACTTTATCAATGTGATGCAGGGTTAATGTGATGCAGGGTTGATGCAGTGTCGCCAATGCAGTTTCGGTACAAAGTGCATCAGGGTGATGTAGTTTGGATGCAGTTTGGATGCAGTTTGGATGCAGTTTGGATGCAGTTTGGATGCAGTTTGGATGCAGCTTCATTGTTTTCAGTCACGGAGGCTCTGACAAACTCGCAAATTGCCCAATCCGCGCCTTTTTTTCCAAGTGAGCGGCGACAGCAAGCACGCTGCCCGAAGCGGTGGCAGCAGTCCCACACCAGCCTTTATAGAGAGCATTGTTTCTCTTTTCATTCCTCTAGGAGTTGCTCACATTCTCTCTTGGCTGGGTGGCCGCGCTCTTATACGTTAAATGCAGAGTTTTCAGGCCAGGGCACGGTATACAAGTCAAGGCCGCTATATACATGACTACATGGTGGTCCCTGAGTCACTCACACGTTAGTCATTGCAATTGGCTCCCTTGACTTGCGCACAAGCGCAGACGACGGCGAACCGTAAAAAATGCAAGAGTGCACAAGCGCGTGTCAGGGTGTACAAAGCAAATGACCTTGTAATTTTTAGGGGAGCAGCCTTTGTGATTACGCCTTTTCACCCCTGAGCCGCCTAGAAGTAATCCCACGCTACGTCCGGCTCCTCAGCGGGCGATGTCGGACTCAGCTCCTGCGCGAATCAGTGCAACGCAATGCATACAAGCGTGGGCAAGCACAAAAGTCCTCGGATTCCGTGGGCAAGGAGTCTTCGCCGTCGCTCTCCTGGCACAAGCGCAAGACATGTAGTGTACCAAACGCTCACTGTGTACATGCCGCGCAAAGGCCTCGTCCGGCGATGGCATCGCAGCTAGGGCCTGACAAGCATCCAAGTAGGGTGAACAACATTGAAATTGCAGCGCCTTAGCCAACCTTGTCGCCGGGTTGGCTGACCCACGGATCACAACCTGTCCGGCAACGCACACATGACATGCGGCGCAGATAGCCCAGGCTGACGCCTGGACGGGCTGCGTGGGCGCGCTTGACGGGTACGCCTGGCCAGTGAAGAAGCCCGCACGGAGTCAAGTCTAATGAAAATACAACTGCAAAGAGTCTTCAGTTGTACACTCGTGCAATTGTACATTGTACACTTGTATTGTACACAGCTGTGTACATGTCACGCTATGCCTCTGAATCCTCAGCATTCTTATCTTCCTGAGAGTTCTCAACGTTCATGAGGGTCCTGAGCACCTCACAAAAGTGTGTACCAGCCGGCGGAAACGTGCGTACATATCGTACACTCGCAATGTGAAGCACAGATAGATGTACAAGCAAAGAAGTGTGGTATACATTGTACATGCAAAGGGGCAACGCTTTGTGTACAATCCAGGCACACCTCTTATACATTCACACGACTCCCAAGCCCAGCCTTCGAGGAACGCGGGCTTCCGAAGGCATCAAATTTCCTCCGCTTCTCAGGGGGTGGCCTGGCAGAACTGGGGACGGCCTTGGTTGGCTGGTCAGCCGACAAAGGGGTGGCCGGGCTTGTTGGGCTGCTGACCTGCTTCAGCGGGGTGCCGGGGCCGGGCGCAGTTGTTTTCGGCGGTGTGATTGGGCTCACAGCGTGTGACACCACCAGCGCCGGCGCTTGGATTTTCATCTGGGCCGGTGGCCGTGGAGCACGTAAGGCGCCGGGGGTGGTGGCTGCCGTGGTGGCTGTGGCTGCAGTGGTGGTGGCAGTGGTGGCTGTGGTGACTGCAGTGGCGGTGGCAGTGGTGGTTGTTGTGTCTGCAGTTGCGGTGGCTGTGGGGGAAAGGATGGTAGTGGGGGAGGGGGGGGGGTGCTGGTGCTGGCGCCGTTGCTGCCGTTGCTGCCGCTGGTGGCCGAGCCCGCTCTGCATGGTGGCCGCCGCCCGAAACGCCTTCAGCGCCTCCGTCATATCCGCATCGCTGTCGTAGTAGAGGAAGGCGCTTGTCTGCGGCTGGTACGCGCTCCTGCATGGCAGAATTCGCACTGCCACCGGCTTTGGCGCATTGTACTGCTGCGCCCTCGCCAGCACATCCTTGGTAGCGGCGCAAGTTCGTGCACGTGTGTGTACAGTTAGTTCATGAGGGTTCGCAGTTTCAAGGTGCATGCTTATACAAGTCAAGGCGAGGCGCTGCTTTGGTGACATTCCCCGGCCAATCAGCTGTGTACAAGCGGCTCTCCATGGCGCACTCCAGGTACCAAGTATGCAAGTACACCTCTTGCACAGTGTGCAACAAATGCAGGCTGCGTAGTGGCGTAGTGGAATGCTCCTTGTGCAGTGCCGATGCAGCTTTGTACATCATACCCACCTCGGTTGTATCACATGTGCATGTGTGTATGTCCTTTTTCATGCATCCCCCATCGGAGGTTCCTTGTTTTTGCAAGAGCCAAAATGGAGCCGCCAGAAAATAAATATTGTTCATGCTGCGTGCGAAGCCTGCAAAACCTCCTCCTTTGGACATGTACAAGCGCATGCGCTGTGTGGAACTAGTTTTTCCGCTATGGTTTTCTGCTTGCTTTGCGGCCTGTGACACAAACAGTGTCTGGGCTTTCTAAACTTTGGGCCGTGGCTCCTATATACAATGGGTGTGCGTCGCAAAATCTCTGACAATTTTCTCAAGTTCTCACACTTCAGGGCTTCGCAGCCGCACATCCTCCCGCCACGCTGCGCATAACACGCGAGAAACACAAATAATGGCGCGCTTGCTGCGCTGTTCTATGCAAAAACAAGTGGTGCAACAAGGTGTTTATATGCATTTGCGTGATTTAGACTCGCAGTTTAGACGCGCTATTTAGACTACAAATTTAGACTCGGCGCAGCTTTGTAGTCTAAATTTTTCGCGAGGCTATTTTTAGACTCAAAGGATCTTTCAGGTGAGGTTGACTTTAGAGAAGTTAATTGTTTGGGTTTCAAGTTGTTTTTCGGTGGGAAGGCGGGGGGGGGCAGGACGGGACAATAATAATGCGCCTGTGTGCCCATTGTTGCGAAAGGCTTGATTCCTGCAGCATCGTTTTTCGCTGGCTGCTCGCTTTCGGAGAGTCGGAACGGAATTATTTCTTTTTATCTCGTTTGTTGTTTGAGGGCTCGGTGGCTTGCCCCGCCTCCCAAGCCCATCAATGATTGGCGTTGTTGCGTTTGCTTGCGCGGGTTCGGTGGCTTGCCCCGCCCGGCCCCCTTAAACAAATCCTTTCGCTGGTTTTGGCGGCATGCCCCATCCAGCAATAGGGTGCCCAGCTCCCCCTTCCTCCAAAGTGAAGCCCGCCAACGATTGAAGTTGCTGCATGTGCTTGTGCTTGCGGGTTCGGTGGCGTGCCCCGCCCGGGGAAGGCGTCTCAGGGCAAAAGAGTCTCACTTGAAAGCTGTGAGCTGACGAACGGACATGCGTGATGCGACGCAAGAGCCGCCCAAGTCGTATGTTTCTTGCGGATCATATTTTTCAAGCGGATAGATGTGTTTTTGCAGAGCAGATATGCTTGTTGCGGTGTGCGCTTGCGGGTTCGGTGGCTTGCCCCGCCGGGCGCCCGCAATGACTTACGCTGGTTTCGGTGGCATGCCCCATCCAGCAGTAAGGATTCAGAAGGGGCGCTTCTGAAACCGCCCTTTTCCGGAAGCGTTCTCAGAAAGGCTTTCGTGTGTAAGCGCGGCTCGAAAAACAAGACTTTTGTGGGAAGTCTGCCTGCAAGCTGCGGGCGCGCGCATTGTTACTACCAGACTTTTAGTGGGGCCTGGCCCCGCGCCAAATCTGGACTAGTGACCTTAAAGTTTTCCTGATTGTGCGGTTACACAGACTCAATGGCGACAGCTCAGAAGGCAGTTGTTTTCTATTGCTTCCAAGGTTTGGTCACTGCGGCCCGCTTGCAAAACCATCCGTGCTTGGCAAGTCAAGACGCGCTGTGTTCGCTTGGCGGCTC